TTTCGATGCATCTACCGCACTCTCTGTTCCACCTGGTCTCGGTGTCGACCACATGCCTCACGGAACGGAAACAGCACCGGTGAGTGGCGCGAGGCAGACTTTCACTGCATCTACCGCACTCACCCGCCTGGTTCCGATAGCCCGAGACAGTGCCACAACGACCGTAGGCGTGTGCAACGCCTGTGCCACGTTCTACGTAAAATTGGACCGAATTACTTGCATCAACCTAAGTGTTAAGATGGTTTGGGTAACTCAGTCCAAAAATGGCACAGAGCTTCCTTTAGGGAAGGGAGACCGCGCAAAACCATACCTAACCTATCATTACTTCTCAATTTATGTCGTTGGCGTGTGCGAGTCGGTTCGAACGCAGGTGACGTGACACTCAGTCCCTCCTTCTCCACACGCACACAACGCGAGCACTTGGCTCCACCTAGGCCAGAAGCAACAATGTAATCATTTTGGAGGCTCAAGTGGACAGGAACTAGCAAATTCGTGGTCCGCGTAGACGGAATCGTGTCGGATTTTGGAACGGGCGGTGACATGGATATGGCGCAAGTATTTTTGTTCAGACACTTTCATGCAGTGGGTGTGCTAACTCGGGAACCGTTGCTAGAAATTCGTTTCCGATCGAGGATTGTGATATGAATTCCCATGTAGCGGCAGAATACCGGCGAAACACGTGTCTGGGCCTTTATTTAGTACCTAGGCTGTTAGTATGGTAAGTTACAACATCAATTCTCATGTAGTCAACTCAGGATTCCGGATATCGGGCTTCTTCCCGAACCCCACGAAAACTACACGTTGAAAAATGCTGACTTGGTCACTACAACATTTTTGACACCAGTATAAATTCAAATCTATTGTACAATAAACGTGTGCATCTAAATAGTCCTTTATGTGCATAGAAAATTCCGTCTTCATAAAATGTTTTATCGTAAGAAAGTATATCCTCTGATTTTCTTTAAAAGTGTCTCGTTATGACATCTTTTATGAAAGTGAAATGTCCATTTACAAAACATCGAAAATCCACCGAACTGCAGGTTATTTAGGTAAATATTTTTCCGTCATACCGATTAATGCAGTGGGCCAAAGTATCTTCCTCTAAGACCAGTAACCTATCTTGCATGAATCAGATTGGAGATATTTTCCATCACAAATAGTAAGGTAACTTCTAGTTGAAGCCTTTTGAGAGAAGTATTTACCGGGGAAAAAATGCGATCCCCAGACAGTCATGCCCAAACTTAGGCCAGAAAGATGTGCACTGCGCAAACGTCCGATGGAGTTTAAACTACAATGTCAAATCATCCGGCGTGTTCCGCGGTGCAGTCAGCCCACGACATTTGAACCCACTAGAACCAAAATTAATTTCTATATAGCTTGCGCCCTTCGGTTCATGCAAAGCGGAAGTCATCACGGTATCGATCCGTTTAAAAGCACGCCCAATAGGCCCAAACCCAGAGAGCAAATCAAAATTAAACCTACCCTCTAGTCCGTGGCGCGAGCACGGCGCGTGGACAGAAATCACTCAGGGTTGAAACTCAGATGCTATACATTTTCATACTTATTTTCAAAATGCATATGGGATGAATGACCGTCTCTGGCCTATAAACCGTTATCAGCCAGTCATCCCCAGCCCAAGAGGTGGCGATTCTCGAGGTTCGAACACAGGACCTTTGGTCATTGAGTGCAAAACTCTACCACTGCACCACGGGCTCGTTGTTTTTGTCGGTTGCAATGAGGAATACGATGAAAAGTAGGGTACTCACAGAACGTATTCGTTCCGCTGCGCCTTATAACTCAGTCTACAACCGTCGTAGGCTCATATTCTTGGGCACACCTAAGTTCTCTGGCATGCTGCTGCTGGTTGTTTGAAAGCACACCCCCACCTTACGCCGTACGCTGTGGAAGGATTATTGACCAAATAAAACTGCTGACAAAGACAGGCGGTGGGGGGCTGGGGTGGACACTCCTGGTTTGTTGGTTCTCATCAGCCAGCCATACCCAACCCCGTATTGTGCCAAAAGCCGCAGATCGAACCTGCAACCTAGTGGCTAGATGTCCAAAGCTCTAGCCATTGAGCTATGGGCCCGCTCTCGGCTCGGGAAGAGTAACAATGGTAAACTGGCGCTCACCGATGGGAGCGATAGTCCTGGATGGCTGCGAGACCCAACTGTTTATCCGCCTAAGCTAATCAGCTGGTATACATGCACGCATCTGTGAACTTTCCAATACGTACTCCAGAATGTGGGGCCTTACATTGTAGATTCTCACTGATGAATATTCACCGACCGCTAACCGAACTCGCTCGTTCCGCTCTGCCTTGGGTTTCGCTTCTCGAGCCCCGACAGCAGCCGTAGCGGCCCGCAGTATTGACAAATATTATTGCCGGCAAAGAAAAGGGAGACTGGAATGGCGATTTCTGGCCTATTGGCAGTCGTCAGCCAGTCCAACCCAATTCCAATTTGTGACCTACCCGAGGCTCGGATCCACGACCCTTTCTTATCAGAGTCTAACACTCTAATCACTGAGCTCGTGGCTCGTTTCTGAACGTTTGCTGATCTAAACTAGCAAAGCAACGAGCTCGTGACTCAATGGTTAGAGCGTTAGACTCTGATCAAGAAGGTTGTGTATTGGAGCCTTCGGTGAGGCAGCACTTGGGGTTGGGAATGTCTGGCTGAGGACGGCTAATAAACCAGAAGTAGCTATTCCAGTCTCCCGCTTGCCTTTGTCGGCAATACGATCTGCCTAAGACTACTAGTCGCTACGGCTGCCGTCAGGGCCCGGGAAATGCTGGTCAAGGCAAAGACCGAGCGGGACAAATGATTTTCGTTAGCGGTTGGTGAACATTCGTCCATGAGTGCCCACACATCGTTTTGGCTAAAAACGGCTTGACAGTGGTTTCTCATTTCCTTACTAGCTTGGCCTACCGCGTGTTCCCTTTACCATTTCTTTTATTCATAAAACCTAAAGGGTAAGCTTTTTCGGGGATGTAGAAAAGATCGAGAAAAGCTTCTAGAGACATTACTGGACAGCATCAGTTCGGAAGAATACCAAAAAATATCTCGATTCATGCGGAAAACGCGTTAGCGCAAGTGCATGCCATCTACTGGACGGTATTTTGAAGGGAATTAGTGCTGTTAAGGTGTTCTCCTAAATTTTTTTAAATGAACTAAATAAGTATAATTGTTCGGTGACTTCGTACTGAAGTCGTAAAATGGATATGCATCACATGGAGAAAAAATAAAACTATAAAAGGCAGGTCACTTTTCAAAAGAAATTATAATGATTTAAACTATTTACAGCCGAAACAATCTATTCTTTTAGTGGCTTCTTTTACTGAAGATATTGCATCTATTGGAAATATTTCCCCCCCCCGTGACCACCTAATTACATGCGGGTGACAGCTATTTTCTCTCACTGGCCGCATGATTAAATGCAGGCGACGATTATCTACTTACATTTTGACCCATTATAGAATCCTATGTTCGTCATCGTTTTGAGTTAACTATTTTCGTACAACTCTCATTCATCTGACGAGGATTGGGGAACTAGACCCGAAAATCTACGCAAATTTCCAAAGGACTTTATTGTTAATAAAATATATCGCATAGTATGCTGATATTCCCATTTACATATATGTTTATCAGAATTGGTGTGCGTCGGGAGTCGATATGACGAAAAAGGGAAGGAGTCCTCTGGAAACAATTCACTTATACTCGTACAGACTTGGAAAACAGGGAAGTAGACCCTGACACATTTCTGTCCATAACGTTAAGCCAAGTCATCAAGTCACGAGCCGACTGTCTTGGCAATTGAGATTGGGAGAACTGATCACTGATTCAGTCGCGTAGCAACCATTTTTTTCATTTTGCCTATGACTTAGTTATGGAGCGTTAAACCCAATGTCCGCGTTGGGATGCCGATTGAAAGTAGGTATTTTAAAATTTGCAGCTTTAAATACCCCTTAGTAAAAACACTACGAGGAAGACACAACTACTACCAGCAGGGAAATGGGGCTCGTAAGTTATTAGTGAGAAGACGGACCTGATCGAGTAACGCGTTATAGTTAACCAGCGCTAATGGGAAGCCATACAATCAAATAAATGCGAATGAATAGTAAAAAATTGCGGCCAACTAACACCACCGATCGGTTAAAGATTGCAAAACTTAATCTTACACCAGTCCATAGAACGGAGACAAGCTAGTTCTCCATTAACTCCCATTTTTTTCACCAGAAAGAACACATCTACAAAAAACACTTATTTCTCCTAAAAAAACCAAAACTAATATATCCAGTACTAAAAGGTTACTGTCTAGGATGGAATATATTCAGTAATAGAAACCTCTGAAAGCATAGAGCATTTCGGCTGTAAACAGCTGAATCACAACACTAACTGCCGTCAAATTAGGCTAAAAATCAACACAAGGGGCCAAGCAGCAAACGAAGAAAAATCGATCAGCCCATGGCCAACACGTATAGCGACAACTTCAAATCCCCTGATCGATAAAGTCAGTTCACGCTTCGACATAGTAAAACCGACCCAGCTGCCCAAAACTACAGTGAACAAATAAACTCATTCCCGTGAGCACAACATGATATCGTAATACGTTTGGTCAGAAGCGGACTCAACACATCCGCCGGTGAAGCTGGGATAAAAGTCACGCTCAGTTCCCACGTTTTACTACCCAAACTCCTGCAAACTGACAACACAGTCAATACCTTGTCATGCCTAACGCATTAGTGGCGTCTCTTTGAGTGATGAACAGTGAGCTGGTAAAAAAAAATTGAAGCAAGCCAGCTAGAGAAAGCCTTTTTAAAAAATCTGTGATTCATCCTATTTTGCTTTCTAAAAATCACTCTGTACGCTAGAAGTCAGCTTCCACTCCGAACCAACGAGTTTCAAAATTTCCCGACCTAAACCTTTAAGATGCCAGGAGCTCGTGGCTAAATGGTTAGAGCGTTGGGCTCCTGGTCAAAAAGCTCACGAGCTCGAGCTTTGAGTGGTAGTACGCCGCTTGGGGTTGGCAAATATGACTGACTGACGCCGAACTAATTAACCAGAAATGGCCATTCAATCTATACACTGTACTAGCTTAGTACGTAATTGTTTTTACCGCAGGCAGATGACAAAAGAGGACTCTGCAACAAAAATAAGGGATCTACCTGGATCAGATCTGAGTTCATCCTCATTTTGCGGCCAGTCCTCTGAGTCGGAAGTCTCCGAACTGATCGTAGGGGGAGGCAGGTCGGCAGGCCTGGTAGTTATGATGGCATCAATGGAGAAAGCCCAGGCCTTTGCGGAGAGCGCTGGCGTTGACACCGACTCTGGCTTTGTCGTCTCCATTTGCATTCGTTTTCTCTTGGGTGAATCACACATGCTCAATTCTTCACCGCCTTCTTCTTCTTCTGCTTTCATTTGGCGCTTGGCTGCTGCTGCTGCTGCTGCTGCTGGAGACGCGCTCCCGCTGGTATGCAGACCCTGTATCATCAAGTGGGCCGACGGCGGCGGTTCGCAAGTCCTGAAGAGTGAGAATGAGAGAATACCGACAACAGCGACTGCGACTGCGACAGCACACAAACACAGAAGATGAAATCGTCGCCTCTCGGAGGTGTTGCCTGAGCGTGTGTGTGTGTGTGTACGTGTCAGTTATGTGCGCGTGTGTGTGTTCGG